GTCAATGTATGGTGGGAAGGTCATGTAGATTCTGACTTTGGACATATGTGAGGATTGAGGTTAAAAAATCACAAATATTAGAAAGTCTTAACTTTGTATAGACTTGGGGAGCAAGTTGCTTATGGAAAACGACTAGACAAATCAGGTTTTGGAATATTAGATTAATCACAAAGGCTCCGGTTGGGTGTAAAGACAAAATTCAGAAGTGAGTTTGGACATAAAAGACTGAAATTAAAAGGAAAACTAATTACAGTATGAGGATCAGAGCCAGGGATCAGGACAGTGGGCAAGATGGTAAAGAAATAGGGAAAGAGCAGATGATGAATTCACAGTGGCAGTGAGCAGAGAGAGGTGGGAAGCAATTCTTAAACAAGGAGGAGTATAGCATAGTAGACAGTATATGTAGACTTTGGAGACCGACAGGCTTAGATTATAGTACCATTCTGCCAATTATTGCTGGTACAAACAGAACCAAATTATTCAGCTTATTATCTGTAATGTGGGACCAATAATATCTGCTTTATTTGGTTGTTGTGAGGATTAACTGAGAAAAAGTATGGAAAGAACCTGTACAAATTCTATCATATGAAGGGTACCCAGTAAATGATGAATATATTTACTATTAGATAGACTATATAGGTAGAGGCAGAAGTGAGGAGTGAAAGGTGATGAAAGCCAAGTAGGAAAACTGTGTGAGTGTTGAGCAGGGAGAAAGTGTGGGACAGTATCTCCTAAGTGGCTTTCAGTTATGTACCCCAAATGGTGGGGTGGGTGCAGAGATCTCAATCATGCCTGAAGTAATGAAGTACTAACAACTTACTCAAATATTTATGTTGTAGACCACTCTGCCTGGTTTTAGGAATTGTATCTTGACCCCTTGTGGCTAAGGGCGAGGGATGACCTTTGGAATGCCAGCCGCAGGAGACAAAGCTTGTCTCTGGTAGCAAATGCTGCCTCAGTTCCTCTCCCTGCCCCCAAAGCTTGGTGGAAAGTCAATGATAAGTAAGACCCCTCGCAGAGGGGAGCAACCTAAGCCGGATCACTTGGGAGGCTTCCAGGGAAGGACTGGGCAGGGCAGGGGGGGGGGCCCACTGCAACAAAGAGCAATAGACTCTCACCCCCTGGCTTTGACAAAGCCCGAGTCCCCATGTCCTCTGGGAGAAGCGCTTCCTGGCTCTAATCCCCTTCAGCCTGAATACCTGTTGGGAAGCGGTGCAGCTCCTTGCCTTTCTAGAGTGTGTCCTGGGAAAAAAATCTGGCATCACAAAGACTTGCTGATAAACCTGTGAAATCTGCTGTGCTAAGAGTGCTTTCATTCATATGATAAAGGTCTGAGAGGAAATGAGTATGTCTCCCAAAGTTTCTGCAACTCTCTTCCTGACAGACACTGACTCAGACTTTGAAGCCCTCAGATTTCTTTGAAATGTTATCTACTGTTTGATCCTTGCCACCCTGTATTCCTGTGTATTACAACCCAATAAAAGGCTATGGAGGAGGGTGCTCAGGGCCTTTTTCTCCTCAGAGAAACTGGCCACTGCTGGCCTTTGTCTCCCCTGAGAAACTGGCCACAGCCCACTTCTTCTCACCAAACAGATCTCATCATGTCTCGGCCATATTCACTCGTGTTTGTGGCACTCAGGAGGGACTTGTGGAGAAGTCGCCCCCACATATTTAAGAGTATAATATGAATCTTAAGAACCAGGGAAGCCCAGGTATTATAAGCTGTAAATGAGACTCATCTTGTTTCCCACAGGTGGCCAGTGTGACCAGAGATATTGTCAGATGTTGTAGGACTCATTGTGCTGGAGATTGAGAAAATTAGGACTCAGTGTCCAGGAAAAAGTGTGAAGAGGGCTGATTATATAACTTCAACTTTAAACCTTGTCTCAATCCATTCACACTATTGAGTCTTTCTAATCAAAATGCAGATCATTCCATTATTAACTTTTTAGGTCTACCCTTTGCCTTTGTGTCTGCTATTTTCACTTCTTGATATTTCTCCCCCCCTCCGAACTCTATAAAGCTTCAATTCAGTTTCAATGTAACTGCCTTGGTGAAAACATTCTGGGCCCCCCCGGGCAGAAAGAATTATTCTCTACCCTGGGCCCCTAGTACTCAATATTTTATTGTGATGCTTATTCCATTACATTCTAATTTTCTATTCCCTTCTCTACCTTCTTTACTAGACAATTCCAATGTCTACTTGTTGCGATATTTTCCTGGTAGGGGTCAAGGTGCAGGGGCTGGTGTGAGGGGAGGGCTGAGGCAGTGGGAAACCAAAACTAACATTTTAAAGATGAGAAAAGTCTGTGTTACCAGAAGGGGAGCAGCAGTAGAAAGTGATCAGTCAAAGGTAAGAAAAGAAAGGGATCCATTGACTGTACAGTGATCTAAAGCAGATACAAAAATGGGACCAGTAAAGAAAAATCATTGTTAGGAAGAGAGATAAATTGATCGACCATCTGTAAAAGGTATAGAAAATGACTCTGAAGAATCTGCTGGAATAAGAACAATGTGCTAGAAGAATTCTTAAAATGTTAATAAGATCAGGTTTCTCAACAGCTCAAAACCTTCCAATCCACTTAGAGTAAAAGCCCACATGATTACAGCTGCTTTAAAGGACATGGTAATATGCTCATCATCACCTCCCCCACCCCTTCCTTCTCCCACTTCATTTCTTCCTTCCATTTACCCTCCTCCAGCCACACTGGACTCCTTGCTGCTCCTCACACTGTACCTCACCTTAGGGTCTTTGCACTACCCATTCCCTTTGTGTGGAAAGCTTTTCCATCCAAAATCCAGATGGCTAATGCCTTCTTCATGACTCACCTCAATGAGGTTTATCTCAATCAGCTATTTAAAATATTAACTTGCCCCTACTCTGTGCCCTCCTGATTTTCCTTGACTAACTCTATTTTCTCCATTGAACTTATCAATTTCTACATTTATATCTTTATTGTATTTATTCAAAGTCTTGACAAGGGTTGTATTTACAGCTTCTACTCCTCCACTGGAATGCAACTTAAGATCAGGACTTTGGGGCTGTTTTTGTCTGTATTGTTCAGTGAACTATTCAAGCATCTAGAAAAATGCCTGTCACACAATAGGTGCTCAGTGAATATTTATGAAAGAATGAAATCAATATACAAAAAAAGATGAGGTCTTGGAGAGATGAGTTGCAGGAGAGATGAGTTTCAGGAGAAGTGAGATGTAAAGCAGATAGAGGGAGTGATCTTAGATAAGAAGTAAGGAAGAAATTACAAGACATATGAGAAGGTATGCATAATGATTTGGTTGTGGGAAGCTGAATGAATACACATCTCATAGTCTGATTTGTCTTTGTAAAATGAGGGGTGAGATTGCTGAGATTTGGAGGAAGAAGCAGGGTGGTGAATTGGAGAGCAGAGGCATAAATCTTTTGGAAAAAGTGGCAAATGAGTTGATTTAAAACAGTGTGGATAGCTAGACATTGTTTGTGACCCATTTGACCAAAATTTAAGCTGATATCACCTGTGTCTTTTGTGATTTTTTCTTCAACAAAATCTGGGCTCAGCTAGCTAGGTGCAGCTTTTAAAATCTACCTATGAAGGAAGCAGATAAAGGGAGGTTAGGACCTTCCTAACATGCATCTTTCTTATGGCTCTAACTCACTAGACTATAATGACTTACTTATTTTATCTCCTCAAAACCTTGAATGTGGACATCTGACTTTTTGATCTATATTTTCAATGTGCAGTGTGACACCAGGCCCCCCCAAACATATGCAAGAGATTTTTATCTTAACAACAAATGATACTATATCTGCATTTATAATTTGTTGATATTTTAAACTTTTTTTTAACTTAAGGGAGTTGAAGTTTAGGTAAGTTGAGGTTTGCTTCATTTTGTAAAGTCAGTAAGAGATAAATCAGGCACTAGCACTTATGTCTGTCAGTCATTTGTCCCAGTGGTCTGAATTTTTTTTAATGCTTTAGGACACTTTGAATATGGGGATGCCTTTTGTCCATGTTGAGTCTCTTATGTTACTTTTTTGTTTTGCCTGATTCCCAAAAACTCAGACATGAATGAATGTATGTTCACATGTAAACATTCCTTCATAAAATTGCTATGTAATTGTTTGGGTTTAGGCTATGTGCTTCCACACTTCCTCACACTTGTTGGTCAAAAATGACTGGGCTAAAGAGATGTGCGAAAATTAATGAAATGATCATTCTGTTTAGTGGAGAAAGAAGTCAAATTTGAGTTCTATTTTACAGTGGCCATTATTCCAACTCATATGACCAACTGCTTTATTGTAGGTCTGGGAGTTTAGGCCATGAAGTACATGTAAATCAGAAATAATAACTAAACATTGAGGACATTCTACATTTTATCCTTCCTTCCCATTCTCTAATTCTGCATTTCCCTGTCCAGATCATCTCTGTTGGACTCCTTGAAAAGTAGGTTAATTTTACATTAATTTTATTTATAATAATGAGCTAACTTTTGTTTCTATTTTTCTCTTTCTTCTCTCCTCACTTGTGAAGAAATTTTTAAAATTTCAATTCTCTCCTTAGATCATATCGTACCCTACCTAGCAAGCCCAGGATCCTTATGAGTTGCCAAATCACTGGACTCCCCACTTCCAAGGCAGTTCCTTAGATGCAACTTGTCTTTAAGCAATGTCCATAATAAGGAAGAGTTTCAAAGTCAAGAAATATATGGCATTAATCAAGTAACACTTCTTCTGGCAGTGAAATATCTTTGAAGAAGATGCAGATGAATGCAAAAGTTAATGTGAAATCAATGGTGAACTTTTATATACATATACAGTATATATACAGAAGGAAAAATATATAATAGTTATTTATGTAATTATTAGTAATATATAGAATAGTTATAGATGCATATATAACATCATCATCATCATTGTCATTATTAATATTATCAGGAGCCATTAAAAAAAGTTGAAATGTATTTAATTATTCTAAGAGGGCAGACATTTCTTTTCTTTTTTTGTTATTTGTATGGAACGCTCCACCAATTTTTGTGTCATCCTTGCACAGGGGTCATACTAATCTTCTCTGTATCATTTTAATTTTAGTAAATACCTTCCAGAAGCAAGCCCCAAACATTTCTTTGTTCAATTTTTTAAGCCATGGTCCTGAAAATAGGCAGAGAATTATTAACCACCTTTGCCATATTTTTCAAAAGAAAACAGAGCTGAAAAGTAGGCTAGAGTCGGCCATTCTCATGGCCAGAAGGGTCTTTCCCAGTTAATATTCTGCTTTTATTTTCTCCAGATCTTGAACTTCCCTGCTTCTCTACCTGGCTTCCTGAACCATCCTTGGCACTTATCCCAGTCATCATAACCTCCTGCCCATATAGCTGCCCCCAAAATATGGACATGTGCAAACAAGGCAAGTATTTCCTTCTAGTACCACTGAAGACCTCTTTCTGACACAGATCCAGAGGCCTGAGCTCTGAACCCTGAACCTGACCTCATGATCCTGGGTTAAGATTCTTTTAAAAATCAATGACAGTTGACATACAAATATAGGGGTGGGGAAAAGGAAATTTACAGGCATTCCTATGGGAATTAATGTAATAATTAAGAAATAATAATGCAAGAATAAACTCCGTGTTTTGTGTACTCACAACTGAACACCATTTTTGTTCCACTCTGCACATTAGTTTCAGGTATACAACATAGTCATTCTTAACTTCCTGTGTGTGGTAGATTTTGTTTTTTAGTTCCTGTTTTGACCCTTGATTTTCCAGAGAGGACCTTATGCCCTCTTGTGACTGCAAAGTCATACTATAGGACTAGATTATGGCACTAGGGTTTAACTTAATGATAAAATTCCTGTTGCCTAATGGCTCCTTGTAGCTAATGTTGATCTCACTCTTCAATTTGGTGCTACTACCATTAAGTACTTTGTATTTTGGTGTCCTAACCATGTGGAAGAAAAATATCACTCATATTGGTGAGTTCATCCTGGTGGGTTTCCCTGCTCCCCCTTGGCTTCGGGAGTTGCTCTTCTTCTTCTTCCTCATCACCTACCTGTTTGTGCTGTTGGAGAATTTAGTCATCATTATCACTGTGTGGGTCACTGGATCCCTGCACAAGCCCATGTACTATTTTCTGAGCACCATGTCCTTTCTGGAGACCTGGTATATATCTGTCACAGTTCCCAAGATGTTGGCTGGATTCCTACTTTGCCCCAATACAATCTCCTTCCTGGGGTGCATGACCCAGCTCTACTTCTTCATGTCACTTGCGTGTACTGAATGTGTGCTGTTGGCTGCCATGGCCTATGACCGCTATGTGGCTATATGTTGGCCTCTTCGATATCCACTCATGATGACCACCGAATTTTGTGTTCAGCTGATCATCTGTTCTTGGGTAAGTGGCTTCACCATTTCCATGGTAAAGGTATACTTCATCTCCCAAGTTGCCTTCTGTGGCAATAATATCATGAACCATTTTTTCTGTGATGTATCTCCCATCCTCAAACTGGCCTGCATGGACTTTTCTATGGCGGAGACAGTAGACTTTGCACTAGCCATCGTCATCCTTCTCTTTCCTCTCTCAGCCACTGTCATTTCTTATGCCTTCATTGTATCTACCATCCTGCACATTCCCTCAGCCACTGGGCAGCAGAAGGCCTTCTCCACCTGTGCCTCGCATCTTACAGTGGTGGTCATCTTCTACTCAGCTGTGATCTTCATATATGTTCGACCTCGGGCTATTGCTTCATTTGACTATAATAAATTGATCTCAGTCATATATGCAGTCTTCACTCCCATGCTCAACCCTATCATCTACTGCCTCAGGAACAAAGAGGTCAAAGATGCTATCAGGAAGACCATGGCAAGTGGTAGAGCCATTTTCTTGAGAGATTCTATTTGCTGAAGAAGCTCAAACATTTCTTCTCTTTCTCATCATTTGACTGAACCTCAAAAAAACACCTTCATTTGGTGAAAATCTGTAGTTATAAAAATTCTGTCATTGTAAAATAATTTAAGGAAAAGTAGCCAGGTACCAAAGAAATCCCCTTTTCTGTTAGACCTTATTTTGTGTTTCATTTTATAACACAGTGAATGGAATGATCAGAACTCTAATAAGAGACATGTGAGGGGGGACCTAAAAAAATTATCTCCAGAGGGAGGACCCCTTGTCATACAGGTTTTCCCCACAAGGTGAGAATTCTAGGAACCAATCTGTATCAGTGTATCAGCTGACATTGTTGTGAGAGACTATGTTTGGCTACATAATTTTTTTTTCTTTCAACATATGTGCTCATTTCACAATTGGTGATTTGTGAGTGCACCTACCCACACCATGCTGAGTATTCAGTTTTTGACCTAAAATGGCCTGACCCTTGTGTCCCACTCTCTGTATTCACCTAATCTCACTCCAGAAACTTTTTTTTGTTTCCCTGGATGTGGAAGCAGTGAAACAAAAAATATCAGAAATACTAAAGGGCCTTGAAATCAATGAGTTCAAAAATGGTTTTGAGCAGTGGGAAAACATCTCCATAGGTGTATTGCAAAAAATGGAGAGTACTTTGAAGGTCTCTGAAGTTAAAACATGTCAACCTAAATACACAATTTTTTTACAAATAAATTCCAGGTTTCTTTGGGTTCCCCCTTGTATATTGCTAAGAGGTGAAAAATAATTTATTCCTTATTGAAGATTTTATTAGAAATATAACTTATTATCCAACTAGTTTTTAAGAGTTCTATTTGTGAGAGTTTTCCATTTTTTATTTTGCTTTGTTTTAAAAGTCCTCTCTGTCCAAGAGAACACAGAGAGGTTCTACTGTAGTTGACTTCATGGCTATGGCCTGTTTATTGCTTCCATAGGAGTTAGAGGACTGGTTCCTTTTATAATCAATTTACTTTGTTGATATCTTATTTTAATTATTTTTTGAAACATGGGAAAATATGAGAGCTAAACTTCTTTGCAGTCTTCTTTATGCATGACTTGTCATGGTAGAAAGGGAAAAACATTATGTATATTTGTATATATATGTTTCTCTATATAATTATATATAATATATACATAGAATTTAAAAGTTCCAACACAAGAAGGATGATAAAGCTTGAAATCATGTATGTTTATACATGTAACTATATATAAAATTTTATGTTTTCATTCTTTTTCTTTGTTGAGATTTCTATATCCATAATTTCTTTTTTGGATACAATAGTCAGAGACTGGACCATAACCAAAGCTAGTGTCAATTCATTATTGCCTGTTCCTTTTTAGGTAAAGAGAGCATTGGCATTGGTAAGAGACCAAATACGTGTTCTGGGATGGTACTTAGCTTGAATGTATAGGATTTTCCCAGGTTTCCCAGAAGATCTTCCTTCTCATTTGTTTTTATTTTAGTTTGGAAAGGTGATGCAATATCCTAAGAAGTAGTATGCTTTCCTTTAAGCATTATAAAATGATAGATGAGAGATGGATTCTGTCCGGCTCAGCAACAATACTGAATGAATCAATTAAAGAAATGTGGCTTGCCAAGAGTTCAAAGATAACAGACATATTAATTTACCCCAACACTTTGGAAAACACGTTTCATAACGTTTAACTGGGTTATTGATTCATATACCCTAATTTCTTTGTTTTGATTTCATTTGTCTTATAACTACATGTCTTTTTACTTTGTATTAAGTACTTATGTAAGCCAGATAAGGTGGCCTCAATTTGGTTTTGTGTAGATTAAGATAATTTACAAATGGCACTTTCCAATTTATCTAAACCTATTGTATATTCTCCCGTCCTTCACTACTTTTAGCCTAAATATTGTGTGTTCCTAATGATATGTACCATTTTTCTTTAGTCAAAAAGTACTGCTATGGATCATGACTCACATAGACACTAGAAGTAATACATATGCTTTACCTTGAATCATATGTCTTATCTCAATGCTAGAATTTTCCAGTCTTTTTATAAAAAATAGTGTTATGCAGTATATATATATATATATATATATATACACATATACACACATATATATGTGTGTGTGTGTGTGTGCGTGCATGCTTAAATACTTGATTAATCATTAATGGACAGTTATTGCTCTTTTGAAATCTTATAAGATTAGTTTTAGTCTTAAAATGCTTTTTCATTATAGCAAAAAAGAACGATGGACAGAGAAAATAGTGTGGTGATCGCAAGAGGGGTGGTGGATGGAGGTGGAGGAGTGTGTGGGGGATAAATGGTAATGGGAAATATACAATAATTATTTTAAAAATAAAAAAATGCTTTTCAGGTTTAGTTAAGCTGTCTTGGGGTCACTATAATTGTAAGTCACCTATCATCTATATTATAACCTGTCATTATTTTTCTGGTCTAAATCACTTGACAAAATTTTCTATATAGCCATTAGATCATTTGTTATACAAATCCTCTCTGTACCTACTAATCTTCTATTTTACTTGATCAACTGGATTTCTGAGAGAGCTATTTTGTTGTTTCTATAACACTACCCTTTCTCCCTTTATTGTTACAGATTTTGTTTTCATATGTCTTCATGCTAACATTTAAAATATTTTACTCTTAAATATTTTTTAAAATGCAGAAAAGTAGAAAAAAGAGTATAGGTGACAAGTTTGTCTACAACTCTGCTTTGGCTGCAAGTTTCATGGGGAGCCTTCTATTTCAAGGGAAAGTTTACACCTGAGAAAAAAGAGGCATGCACATGCTCCTGACAGTGTGTGCTGGTTCCTTTGTCTTGAGGCTTTTTAAACCCTCTTTTGTGGGTGGGAACCCCAGAAAATGTCTCAGGGGAGGGTTTCAGCAGATTATTCATCAGCTTTCCAAGTGTGTTCTTTAATATGCAGATACACCAAAATGAGCAAACACATAGGAGATCAGGGTCATTTTTTGGTCAGCTTTACCTCTATCTTCGATTTGTTTGGTTCTTGGACGTTTTGTTATTTTTTTCCCTGACTACATTTGTCCTTGGGTTTGGCTGACACTAATGGCACTAAGTGAGTTTCTGTTATCTATCTCCCTGACCATGGTGGTATAAGCTATTTATTCTCTGGTTAGGAAAGAGAGGTGTAAACCATTTGCTCTCTAGAGTCCTTGGTTAGGGAAGACAAGGACTAG